AGCATTACATTTTCATGACTTCACAACCACTGGCAAATTCAGACAGGGGAGTAATGAGCATCGTTGAAACCACTGAATAAATGCGTCTTCCCCGTTGTCCCCTTCCTTCCTCACTCATTACGCCGTTCTTTATTTGCCGTTGTCACTCCCCCGCTTCTCAGAGGCATCTTCCTTTTTCCTCTTTGTTGCCACTCGTCAAACTCTTAGAGTAGCCCTCTGTTTTCTTTTCACCTTCTGTTGTCTGCGGCGTGTTCCTCATTTAGTCGTATTTAAACACCACTCCCTGCGCCGCCCTTTGAAATCCTCTCCCATTCTCTCAGTCTCTCTGTCATAACACCATGTCCGAGTGATTACTCTAAGACTCAGGAATGTTTGTACCTGTCTAGTACTCCTTTTCTTCATGTGCAGACATGACTGGAGCACACCCAGGAACAGTACCTGCAGGACAGAGTTGGGATACCGTTTCTCTCCCTTTTAAAGCCCCCTATGAACAGTGTGCTGCTGGCTTGTGTTACTCAATCCTACATTAGAATTACAAAACCTTGCTCTGAATGTGTGTTGTTTTCTGAAGCCACAAATCTGGCAAGAACCAGAGTGTGCATCATTTGTTTACCATTTGTTTCTCTTAAAGACTCCCTCCTGTTTTACACAAATGAGCACAAAATGAGCACTTATCGGATTGCAAAGGAAACAGATTTTGTCAATGAAAATGGTCCTGGGTTGTAAATCATCCACTCGATCAAGTTAAATGTGAGTGTTCAAAATAGTATGATTAATGCAAGACTAAACAGCATGGTTGCAGCACCTAAACGGCCGCAGTATTTCATGTTGTTCCTTACCTGTATACATCTATCATGCTTTTGGATTGAATTATAGCCTTTCATAGCACATCCTGGCATCTATTAATCTCAATAGTACATTTTAGTCGTAGCAACTCAAGGTTACCCCCCTATCTGCGTTTTTTCTGCGCGGTTTTAATAGACACTGCCTTTTTGTTGCCTGGAACAGTATCAGGGCTGCTGTGGTGCTGCTTTGAGGTATTTGTTATCTACGTGTTGGCAGGTGTTGCGTGGAGCGATGGCGTGCTGGTGGAACGCCTCTTCCCTCCTACGTACCCCAACCATTTCAAAATGTGTTATATTATTAGAGTTTCTGTAACGTTCGCACCATAGCTACTTTTATTTCACATTCTCATAGTATGTACGTAGTAACAAAGGCACAGCGCTGGGGAAATTGATAAATACTTCCTTATCTTCTCTCATACAAGGCCAAGGAGGCTGAATGGGAGGTTGCTATGTGACCTTGCGGATGGATAATACATAGCAGAAGTGAGCTGGATAACGCCGTGAGAACAGGCACTCTTCTTCGCCAATGCACCTCTTTGAGTTGCAAAACTAAATCAGCGTTCCTTCACTGCACTGAAGTGGTCTGATGAGCGCTTCGTGGCGTTTGTTAGCTTCTTTCTTCTGCTTTTCTAGTACCTCCAATACAGAGGTAGAGCCACCTGAACATTCTATTCCTTCAGCAACACGTCTTAATGGCTCCATTTCTAAATTCCTGCATCTTCCGAGACCTCCTTAGAGGTGGGTGAGATGGCCAAAGAGTCATACAAATACCTGCATGTTTACATCTGCTTTCATGTCTGTATTTTGTATGGACTATAACCCATTCTTATTAGCTTTGACATTCTTTGAAATATGGGTGTCAGGAGGTGCTGTCACCTGATCCTTTATAGAAATGGAGGTGATGGGGAGCACCTTTGAAGGCTCACTGCATCTTCTTTTACTGCCTCTGTTCTGTAGTTTTTATGACCCCGCCTTGTGTTTCGCACCTCTAAGTAGTGCATTTCAAGGCAACTATAGAAATGTAAAGACAGGGAGCTGCCTAATGCTAATTACCGATGAGAGGGAAGACATAGCCTAGCATTAGAAGGCAGTTGCTGGTAGAGGAGAGGATTATGGGAGAATGATTTTTTCTCTCTGTCATCCTCTAGATTTTCACCCCGTCTTTGAGCTTGCTGGAAGGATGTGTTCTTGAGCAGGGGTGACCTGGCCCTGCTCTCTCATTCATGTGTGTAATGAAGGCCTCTGTCTGAATAATCCCATTAGGTAGTGAGATTAAAACCTGAGCTGATATTTGAGACTGTGCCCGGCACCGCTTTAGAAATTGGAGAGCTTTGCTGCCGGCCCTGGGAGAGAGGGGGCCGAGGAAGATCAACCGAGGAGAGTGTCTGTGTTCGGGAGGTCGTCGCTCCTTTGGACTGATAGGGTGCCATTGTAATTAAAGGAGAGGGGACGGCTCCAAAGCTTCTCTCATCTTCGCCCAAGTCCATCCCTTTCTTCCAGAGTTATGCAGAGATGAATCTTTTCCACTTAAAAGCAGTTCTAATTGAGTATAATGGTTTTGATCTAACCAATAAGGGCAGTCATTTAAAAAATCATTCTCTGCTTATAAGGGAATTTGTCTTTTTGGTTGTGCTTGATGAGTAGCATAGGTTTTCAGATCGGCTGGGTTTTTTTTTGCCGTAATGCTCTGATTCAACTATATATGACTTCCTGCAAGGCAGCAGAGAGAGTTGTATATCTCTATAAGGAACGTTTAAGATTGCTCAACACAAACCTTTCATTTTGCATCACTTATGATTAGTTTCCAATCCCCGAACCACAATTGACTATATTAAACAGTTTCTTGATTAGGGCCATACTGAGGAAACCGTGCTGTCTGATGTTTGTTGCCTTTACATATTGACATCTTCCTAAATCATTTGTGCAGTTTAGGAATGGGAAGATGATCGATGCGTTTTAAGAATCCATTATTCTTATCTTTAAGAAACTTAATTGATAAGTAACTATAATCCTGGATAATGCTACGGATGAAAATAAATCCTACACAAAATGGTCTCAAGTGGAACGCTGTATAGCTCAGTTGGTTGAGCTGGCGGTCCATGACCTGTGGCTTGGTCGCCAAGCAATGGACCCCGGTCTAAATCCGGCTCGGGGCCATTTGTTTCATCCCCTCAGTCTACCGGTTTTAAGCCTGTCTCTACAATGAAGGCACTGGTTGCCCAAAAAAAGGGAAAATGTGTGATTGGTAAAAAAAAAACACAATATACACTATTCCTTTTTGAATTGGCACATTTGTATACTAAAAAAGCTGCTTGCCTACCAACTGTAACAGGAATAATTAGGATATTTTTTGTATGAACTTGCTATTCTTTCAGAAATGCTGAACAAATGTTTTTGAAGTGTTTCTTTGTTCAGGTTACATTTTGTCTTAGATTTGCAGTTGTATGTTTATATTATTTCAATCGCTTTTTTAAATATAGAAACTCCATAATCTTAAACACACACTTATACTCACACATGAATACTTATACTTAGATTTAATGCCATACGTTTCCATATAGCGTACATCAAATTGTATAAGAACACAAATACAGTATACACATTTTCTTAGATGTGTTACATGTTAGGCTGTGACATGATGATGTTTATTAAAGTAAATGTAAGTCATAGTGGATCAAGAATGAACATGATGTCAGTCAAATCTTCCTCCTGAGAATTGCAGAACCTGTTTGATCTGATCCATCTTTTGTCATCTGATGAACAGAGATAATATATGCTTACTAGATTATGTGTCATAACAGGATGGTAATACATCGGTACAACAGAAGGCAAAAATAGCATCATGGCAGTACATCTCCTCTTTATCTCATCTGACTGTGTCATGCCTTGTTGCATACCAAGTCTGTAGTTTGCCCTGCGTGAGCTGGGCTCTCCCTCCTTTCTTCCTCGCTGTTTCCATCTCCTTTGTCTTCAGTCCTCTCCCACACCATTTCTTCAGTATCTTCTTTGTGTTGTCTTTTCCAGCTCACTGTTGAGGACTTGAAGTTAAATGTGCCTGTGCTCTGCAGGTTTAGACAAGCGCTACCTGTGCGCCTTGAGGCTTTGATCACGTTTCATAAAGACGTATTTTTTGTCTGTGCTTCAAAGAGCTATGCATTTTTATATTTTTTAAGTGAAGATGGTATGTAAGGAACATAGCTTTCAGCGATTTGATTCACTGTAAGCTACAGCTGTGCTTGTTGTGAGCGTTGTTCCCTTCCCGTGAGGAGGCTCTAAAATGGTGGAATGAATGTAATGTTTCAGTTTAGCTCCAGATATGGTATGACGCTGGCAGTTCTGAATTTAAAACAATGTCTCTTTTTGAATTGGCAAGGCTAAATCTTAGCTGTTACTCTATTGCATCTTGGGTATTGTTTGTCTCTTGCAGGCAATTATTCATAGTCACTCTGTTGTCTTTATAACTAAGAGCACGTCTTTGACTCATTTGATACTTTTCTCTTTACTGAATAATGTATATTTTTCTGTGCTGTCTGCTCTGCTGCCTGACTGCAGGAGCTTCATGTTTATCAGCTCTCTTGATGCATCATGGCTGTGTATGCTTGGCTACTAATAATCATCTCTGCAAGTGTTCTTCCATTTCATTACTGATGCAGTGATGATGAAGATGCTTATATGTCATGATGCACTCTTTCATGCTGGACTGTACTACAATATATCATTCTATGTACTACTAACCGACTAAGCTGAATGTATTAACTGAAAAGACTTGTGAATTAATCCTCAGTTTTTTTATTAAATGGTTTCATTTTCTTCCACCTTCAAAGAGAAGAGAAGAAGCTATGGTTGATGCATGTTGACAAACTTCATTCACTTTTATCTCTTCAGTTGTTTACTCTCTGTTTGAACTGGCTCTTTATTTCATCTCTAACACTGCATGTGCATGTTACTGACGGAGCCTTGCCACACTCGGTGAGGCCTCCTTTTGGGTTGGGGGGGTTGGGGGGTTGTCATGGCGCCGGGGGTCCTTCCTTTTCCCTTTGCTTTTCCGTCCTTGTCTCCCTTACTTCATAAAAAACAAAATCTGCACCTGCACAAATGCACCTCCTCCCACCAGAGCACTGACACACTCCCTTCCATCTGTCTTTTCCTACCCAGAATCCCCTAACAACCCGCCAACCAGGCTCCCTGAGGTCAAGACGAGCCAGAATACAGGCGCCGCCATCGGGTGCGCTGTGGCGGGAGTCGCCCTGTTGGGGCTGGCGGCCACACTGCTCTTCGTATTCCTGCGCCGCCGCCAGCGCACCTTCAAAGGAGACTACAGCACTAAGAAACACGTGTTCGGTAATGGGTACAGCAAGGCCGGCGGTCTGCCCGCACACCCTCCGATCCCCAAGAACCTCCAGTACCCGGACGACTCAGACGACGAGAAGAAACCCGCCCAGATCAGCGGCCCCGCTGGGTTTGAGGCGAGCGTGCCCGATTTTGACCCAGAGCAAGAGGACCTGAAGAGGCCCTATTTCACTGTGGACGAAGGGGAGAGCCGAGATTATGATGAGCGGACTCTGAATTTCCAGTATGATCGTGAACCTGAGATAGCCGATGATATGATCTCTCAAACCGACGGCTCTGTCATTTCTAAGAAAGAGTGGTATGTTTAGTGGCATGCTACAACCAAACCCTTTGGTCCCCCTCACCTGCATTCCACTGCACCCTTCACCTCCGTCACCACCCCACCCTCCCATTCGTCTAGCTGCCCCCTACACAGCCCACTATCCTCAACCTAGTACCCCCCCCCTCCCCCTTGACTCGACCCCCCCCCCCCCATATCAGACCCTATCCAAACTAATCTCAATTAGAAAATCAAGCGTCTATTTAAAGTGCTAGCAAAACATCAACTTCTCAATATGACAGCATTGGTATCAGTTCCATCAGGTGAATGGGCAAAGAGTACAAACTAAGGTATGTAAACGGACTTGAGTACGAGTCCAGACAGGTGATTGGTTGATTAATACTGGTGTAATATTCTTTTTGTGTATTTTTCCATGTTATAAATGTATTACATGTATAAAAAGAGACTGCAGGTTGAGGTTTTGCTGAGCACACTTGTGAAAGTCCTACACTGGATGTGCGGATTTATTTCTGTTTTTTTATTGCCATTGCCGTTTTTGTTATTTTTATAAAGTCTTTTTGTATGATTTTTAAGTAAGCAGAGATATGAGGGTTAAATGTTCGACATAATTACAGGTGGAGTTCTATGTGTTTGTAATTGTGTGGTCAAATGTTTCAGAGAAAAACAAAAAAAACGCCATAAAGCACTTGTGTCATTTCTGTTTCTCACTGGGGTTAGCGTCCATGAAACTCATTTTTGTACAGCATTTACAGCAGATGTGTTATGTGCTGTGTTCCAAAGACATGCTTAGTATTTCTTGCTCCCCCCTGTGTGTATAGGCTTGGTTTAGCTTAACTGAGAGGGAGTCGGCCTACTGAGCCATGTGGCAGATACAAATTGAGTATTTTCAATAATTTTCCCCTTAAATTTTAATAACGCTAAGAACGTTTCCACATCAGTGAATAAGAGTACAGCAGAGAGAAGGGCTGCAAAAATGTCTACTTTTCATTGGTGCATCACAACCACGTCCAAATAAGGTTTGGTGAGTCTCGGAGTCATAAAAACACCTTCAATAATGCTCTGAAATATCATGATTGTCACTTGACTTTAACAGGTTGACGAGCTCTTGATCTTACCACTATAATGAAATGTCTGTATTTTTTTTCTATGTTGAGTTGTCATAATTGTGTTGTTCTAACCCTTCTTTTATCAAATGGATGTCAGAGAAAAGTGTCTGAGGAATTTCCCAAATATGACTCTGCCTCTCCTTATAATATGTGACTGTGTGCTGAAAGAATTGGCTTGAGCCCTTACACCAACAGCATGAGGAGATGTCCATGGAGACAAAGGACACGGATAGGAGAGAAGTGTCAACAGATGCTTACATTTGTGACTTTGAGAGAACATTTATCATGTAAAGGGAATTGAAAAATGAATGGTGGCCATGCTGGAGTATAAAAAGTCACCTGCTGCTTTCATTGGGTTTATTTTCCATCTGTTTATTTTTTTTCTTTCTAAAATGAAATTCTGTATGGGGGATTTTAAAGGAATGAATGGTTGTCCTTTTCCTAATCATCTGAATCTGCCAATAGGGCTGTCAGAAGGCGTAATATAGGCTGTATCTGGCTTTTTTTAAATCCCTGTTAATAAGTGCCAGTGGATGGATGGAGTGCAAAATGCATTTCCTTGGAACAAAAAAAAAGTGAAATATCCGATAAAACCGATGCAAAGGAGTAAATCGGTGGATATGGGCATCACATCTGACTCGCTCTGAACAATATAAATACGTTATTAAGCCTTATGTTATGCATGTTTTGTGTTGGAGTGGATGTGCGTACGTTTGAAATTTCGTTTCGGTATAAAATCCAGTGTGTTTGTCCTCATTCGCAGCTTGAAAGACGACACTTTGTCAGTGCTGTCGTTAACAACAAAGGTAACAACAATATTGCAGTTAAACGCTAAAAAAAAGTATATAAATATATATATAAATAAAGATGAAAAAAGAACATCTCCCTGGGAGCAGATCGCTGGAGATGTGAATGTTTTACAGTCCATGCTTGTCTACTGTACGTTTTTAGATGAGCATGTTAATCATGAGCCTCAATTTCTATTGTATTTTCAACACAAGATTAACATTACAGAAGTGGGAGATAAAAGGGTCTTATCAAAAGCCTGTTGATTTCAGTTAAGATTCATTTTCTACTGCCTTATTTTTGTTTTTGTTCGGTGTATCCACTAGAGATTGAGAACATAAATGGTGGCTTACAGGTTTTAGCGAGAGAAAACTAAACAACAGCAGCGTCTGGGTTGCTACTTTCCAAGTGCAAAAGCAAATCCCAATTATATTGCCTTTATTTTATCATTCACTTGATAAAAGGTGAACGGCTTTGCTGAATGTTCTTCTTTTAAATTCTACAGACATATCACAGCATAATAGACACAAAACGTTTTATGTTTTTGTGCATTCAGTGCCTATCAAAGACAGGAGACAGATGCTGCTCCAGCGTTTTAAGTTATTCATGCAGAAGAATAACAAAGAGTAATATTGAAATATGACACAGACTGCAAACCTCTTAAAATCAGACAAATGATCGTTCTTAACTTGCAGTGAATTTTAGTTAGTATAGTGGGGATGTTATTCCCCCGAGCTCCAATTTGATACTAACAATGTGTCTTGATCTCAAAATCAATTCATCTCTTAGAAGCCCTTTTAACGTTTAATGATTGCTTCACGGTAACACAGCACTTTTTCTCTCTTATCAATAAAGACCCTAAAGAGATCAAACGTTGTCACATATCGCTGACCTTTCAAAGCACAACAATTGAAACATGAAATCTAGTGAAAAAAGATTGAAATCCAATTTGAAAAAAGCAACTTTGGCCCCAAGTAGAGATCAGACCGACTCCTTTTTAAAGCACAACTTTAGGGTTTAATCTCACCTTTTGTCTGCATCCATTAGAAAGCCACTGCCGCACTTGCTTCTAAAACGGTAGAGAAAGAAAAACAATTTGGAGTGGACATTCTGTATACTGGTAGATGTTAACATTGTCTTCATGTTGTCAGGGTGTTATGAGTTTCTATTTTGTAATACTGACTGTAACTTCATTCCATCCTAATCTACTTTTTGTATTCAGTATGTTCAACATTCCACTGTAAATATTGTACATATGGTTGAGATTATAGTTGGGATTTATTTAGGGACAACTGCGTAGGGACCCTGTCATGTAAAATATACCTATTTTGACTGCAAACATAGAGACTTGGTGATGGATAGATGAAGTCGATGGATAGCTTATTTCCAAAGTCCAACCCTAGAAACGCTCCTCCGGTACGTTTTTTTAAAAATGCCACTAGCAGCTTCACTGTCATACAAAAGGGTGACGCATACAGTTTGTCGATGTAATGTTATTGAAAGAAAATCAGCAGAGAGAAAGTGTCTGTATGCAGCCATGTGAATGTATATTTCTGAGGGTGTTACAAATATGAAAAAAAAATCTATTGTTCAATTGTGATGACCCAGTGAAGTAACTTGTATTTGTTTTAAGCATTAAATGAGTTCAATAGTCAACAATGTTCTGTCCAAGTTCGCTGATTGGATAGATGTACCGAATATGATTCATGTCTGCAACACATTTATTATCCCTGTGTATTGATTTTGGTAATTGCAGCTCTTGTATCCCTGTCGCCTCATGTTTGGATTTATTTGTCAGCGAAATCACCTTCTGTGAGCCTTAAGTGTAAAACATAAAAAGGTTTGTTCTTCAAATAAATGTTCTCTGGTTTGACAATTCAACACATTGTGAGGCCAACATATAAACCCATATGTCGCTCTGCTCCTATTCAGCTATGAGATGAGTCACAGTGGTGTATTCCACTTTCATTGCTGTTCCAGTTTTCAGAATCAAAATCAACTTGGGATACATCCATGGCCACGCTACCCTCCATTGTTTGCTCTACTTTTAAAGCCTGAGTGCGAGACTAATCAAATAATTTAAAAAAAAGCCAATACAATCAGTCATGGTTAGGAAATCCCCTTAATTCAGACACCATTTCTTAAAGGTGTTGACAAAACTGCTTTTGCCACAGAAAAAGTCAGTAGTATCCGGTATCCAATCTTTATTCCAGACTCAAGGTCCATATCACATACAAAAAGACAAAACACACATCAATAAATAAGATAAAAAGCTAAACAGATATAAACAAACAAATAAAAATATAAAATCAATCCAATCACAGCTAGCCACAAATGCTAGTATAGTATCATGATGATCATTTTAGTCAGGCTAATACATTAATATAAAAAGGATGCATATAATATAAAGCAAAATGTCTCCAGTGGTTATAACTGTACCTTTTAAGTGTTTGTCCCTTTTAATTGGAGAGCAAAAACCGCCAGGCAGATGTTGGTATTGATTTCAGCGCTTAATGAAGCTGCAATGATATGATGAGAGAGGCTCAGTGTAGAGCCAGACAGATCTGTCTCAGACTGTGGGACTCAAGTGCAGACATCTGCACCGTGCACATTAAGAACAGCCCAGAGTTTGCAGCTGCTGCCATCCATTTGCTAAAAGAGCCCTTTGTAGCCCAAGGGGCTTTGATGGCGCATAGGCTTTTAACATGCATGGCCATCAGTTTTCCCCCCCTCCTGACAGAGCTGCGAGTGGAATTTGACATGTCCTCTATCAAAGTACTCTTAAGATGAAATATGGCTGGATTTTTGTTTTAAAATATGTTTCTCATGGGCCGTAAATTCAAAAGCGAATGTGTAAGAGCACCTCATAGTGATGCTACTCCATTCAGCACAGCGCAACTTCACAGAATACTAACTACAGCTGTGCCGTATTAAAGGAAGTGGGGACAAGTGAGAAGTGATATGGCTGTGCCCGCCGTGATTTTGTGTGTAGCTCACATGTTTGGATTATACTTCTTAAACTTTATGGTGCTCATCATTTCAGACCAGCATTGAATTTGAAGCCGAACAGTAGTTCTGACAAAGCAGACCCAGTTCCTTCACACTTTTTGGTGAAAAACATTAGCATTACATTTTTGTTAAGCAGTCAGTTTGATTTATAAGCCACAATAACTCTCTAAACTTGGGAAAGAAAGATTGGTAGCTTACGTTGCAAGATACTATTGGCTTCTGTGAACCGTTGAGCTGCCGATAAGCTAAGAAGTGGAGAAAAATATATCAATATGAAAGACTTTAGGAAAGCCAGTACCACAAGTCGTTAAACTACAGTGATTAAATGGTTAATTAATATTTTGTATATGTGTTACTAATTTCTTCAGGCTGGATACAGGAGGGAAGTTTTACATATTGATCAGTAAGTTGGCTTTTTGCTGCACTTTGTTGCTTTGAGGCCAGTTTGTAGACATCTCTAAATACTGATATAAGACATCTGATCTCTTCACAGGACTGCTGTTTCAAGTCAAGACTCATATTCAGTGGACTCATCTGTGTAAGCAACATGAAATGTTCTCTCAGTTGTTGTCACAAGAGACACAGCCTGCAGAAACTTGCATATGTAATGTAAAAATACCCATGATGTGTTAATGCATAATTATTTCTTGGATCATCATTGTTCATGGCTTCTAGAAATATGTTGGGTTTTGCTCTTTCTATCTGTTTTCAATGTGTACAGTCACATGAAGTTGTCCATAATAAAGATGTATTACTGTAAATGACACTATTACTCTTGTGTTTACAATTCTCAAAGATCCAATGGCAGAAATGTCAAATGTACACTTCGCCATGGTAACATTACAGTAATACACAGCCTTCAGCCTTTGAAAGTATGAAGATTTCATCAGCTACACCCTTAGGAAAAGGTTTCAAAGGTTTCATAATGACATTTAAGTGAAAGGCTCATGTACTGAAGATATGTTGAAAGATAAAAATCTATACTTAAGGGATATGATAAACGCTAATGCGCTCTAAAGTGTCTTGTTAAATGACAAGATTGTATTGTATTTTGACACAACTGTCATGTGCCACAAGTTATAAGTCAAAACCTACTAAAAGTACTTTTATAGTTCGGTTTTCAGCCACTGATGGACATTGTATCTGTATGTCACTGAGGTCACCTGACACTTCATTTCTTAGCCGAGTGACTCGTCCTTTTTCTTGGAAAAGGTATTGTCAGCTATTCCATACTGCTACAGTACTTTGTTACTAATCTTGACGTTACTCCAGAAAAAACTGTAGCTCCGTGATAATGATCAGTGAAGAGTTTGCCCACTTAAGCTGCAGATATTGTTCCCCTCACTTGCGGTATTTTCTTCGGTTGTCTGATCAAAGATGTCCTGAAACTACATTTTCTACATTTCAACTCGTTTTTCTTTTTTATTCGTGCCTTCTCAGATGTTTTCTCTCAGGCAACAACTAGCGCGACTAAAGTTGACACATGTTTCACTTGGAGCGCCACCCAAAACCCAAGACATATAATTAGGGAAAATATTCCTGCCATGACCAAACCAGTAAAATATACAGACAAACTCACATTTACAATCATCCCTTTATTCTCATAACTGGGCTGTTTTTGCTCGGTTATGTTTTAGCTGACTGAATGTTCAAACACCAGTATGGATGAGTATCACAAGTGTTGTTGAAACACTGCGCTGACACCTGGCTGTGTTGTTGACATGATTATATCTCATTAGTTATTTGCCATCCATTTAGGCCTTTTTCAATGCCTGGGTTTATGCTTTACAACAGTCTGTGAGTACAGCTGTGTACACTTGATACTTTAGCCTGAGAAATGTAATGTATTAAATGTCACCTATTATGCAAAATCCACTTTTCCATGTCTTCCATACATCATCACGTGTCCCCTCTGTTTAAGAGATTCTGAAAGTTTCAGGAAAAAAGATTCGCTCACTTTTTGTCCTGATCCATTTTTATAAAAACCTGTTTAAAAATGAGCTGTTCAGATTTTGGCCACTTTATGATGTCATAACGGTTTGTTGGCTTGTGTAACCATTAGCCAATCACCAACCAAGCTAACCCCTGCCCACCTTATCACCTGAATCTCCTCCTAGAGCACCATTGTGTTCTTTGTAACCAAATGTCTCTCAGAGGGGCGTGGGGAGTGGCTCCTTATTTTCATCTAAAGTAACAGACAGAGAATCAGCACTTTAGAAACAGGGCTGAAACAGAGGGGTTTAAGGCATGCTACAATGATCTGTTTGGTATTTCAAGCCAAACACTTCAGTCATGTTTTGTATATATCTGAGACCTATAATATATTGATGAAAAACAGTATAATAGGGGACCTTTAAATTATACACACAATGCATTTGGCTTCTCTATCACACTTTTTATTTGGATTGTTTATCCATCAGCCTGTCCGTTTATCTGTCGGTTCCATTCTCGTGTCTGTGATATCTCAGAAATCATATGAATTTCTCCAGATGTTGAACACACATCATGGACTGAAGGATAAACTTTCAATGATTGCGAAAGGGATTCTTCAGGAAGCTCTTGCAGGAACTTAACTCAGGTCCAAGAAATGTTTCACCCCTAAAGTCTCCACAGTGATGCACCATCCTTGGGATCTTAAAATAAAGAGCACAGTCCGCTTTTATATCACTCCAGAGAAAAGAAGAACTGAATCAAAGGCGGTAAAAAAAAAAGATATTCAGTGTTTAGATGATAATCCGGTGGGCATTGTGGCTGCAGGCTACTTTGGAAAAACCAACAGGGGTAAAATAGATTTGAAAAGTATCCAAACAGAAAAAGTCCAGAGTTCTCCAGAGTCATTTCCCCGAAACATATGACTACTAGCTGACTACGGCTGGAGCATTGGAGAAGGAAAACAGCACATCTTAGTCATGGCCAGAAGTATTCAACTACCCTTATGTCCCCTTCAAGTGTGAAGAAAACAGATTATCCAAAATAACATGGCAATTGTTAGTACTAATTGCTGTTGACCTAGCATGGTAGTATTGGAAAATTGTATTGACCTAGCGTTGTGGAAGACTCGGGTCATGCGCAAAGATTGCCAAATTATACGGTTGGACAGGCTTATTATAGTCCTGACACAGCCTCAGTGTCCAGGATGTATTGATTGCTTTTGGGCGTAAAGGGATTTATCGACAAATGGTAAAAACAAAACAAAAAAATTCAACCCTAGCTTTAACCTTGACAATACATGACGCTCTCTCTTTTTGGGTTGTAGCCAGTAACCACCACCATGTTAATCAACCGTAGCTGATTTCAAAACCATATACAGCTATACATGTCAACAAAAACATCATGTCACAATGTTTTTTTCTTCAGTATACTTTACCTAAAATAAATAAATCAGACTGACATTTCATCACAAATCCTATGGAACATGTAAGTCGATTCATTTGAGTGAAACAGCATTTATATACATCACATATTGCTCATATTTTTGCATCATAGGATACAAGCAATATAAATAAAGAGTTTAGTAAGATAAACAAAGATCTATACACTGCTTTTCTCTTCTGTCAAAACTGAGCACGTACTAAATGATTTGCTACTTGCGTCATCAAAGAGTCATAAAGCACAAATCTAAAACCCACCAGACTCTATTGATCATCTACAAAATGAAAGTAAGTTGTTTGTAGAGAGAATCTCAGAATGATTTGTTCCCACACAAGGTTTTTATGTTGTGTATCGACTTGTCCTAGCACACTGTTATTTTTTTATTATTTTAAGACTTTAGAGGCCTCTCTCTGGATTTAAATGTGATACAATCCTGCAGTGTAGTAGTTATCCATTTAGTTTTCCATTCTGAAAAATAGTTTCTGACATTGTTTGCTCAGTTTCGCCTTTGTTTGAAAAAAACATGTTTTTCACATTACCTGATCGATTAGGCATGCAGTTTGCACCCCACTCATAGACAAAACAAGGCAATTCTATTTCCAGAGAATGTGAAATTATAATGAATTGGCAATTATTTGGATTAACCCAGGATCAATCCGCTGAAATTATTATTGGCTTATTATTTTGTAAATGAGACGGCTCATAAACAAAGGGCCCCGATCCCATGAATACATTTGGTGGCATCTTGAGGAATCCCTGCAGTATGGCATTGCTGTCGGGACACACACACACCAGCCCCTGCTTTCACGCCCTCCCATTTTCAGAGCCGGTCATGGCATGAGCAGCTCTGCTATCCAGCTGCGCATTAGCGTTCTCCAATTAAACTCAGCCATCCCAGAGCAGAACGAAAGCTCTAAACCCTCTGGTGAGAAAAGTGCTGACAACCCTCATCTACAAAGTCCTGCTGGGAATACTGTGTCCCTGCGACCATTTACCCAGCGTCAAATACGTTGTGTGTGTGAGTATGTCTGTGTGTGGGTGCAGGAGGGGCAGAGTTAGTGTGCATACCCTTCATCCGTTTGTTGACCGGTGCTTTTTCAGCACTGAGCCCGAGTGACCTTAGACACACAATCACTTTTAATGAAACTAAAACCACAAATTTATGATTCCAGTGAGAACAAGTGTGGAGGAATTTGAGATATTTGCCATGCATATTTGTGGTGAAAATCTGCTGAAAATTGTTTGTCGAAGGCAAAGTCCTGTCTTGTCACAAAATTAAAACCTCTTTGAATATGAATTCCCTCTGGGAGCGGGATGATGAAAGAGATTATAACTGACATTATCCCTGAGATCCTCAATTACACAGGCACTGGGCGTGGCCCCAAGAACAGAAAGATAGATTTCAAGGACATGATTTATAACGAGCACTTGATGGGAATGCATACAGTCACAATGTTCATCCTGTGTCCTCTTTAGAACAGCTACAGATTGTTGTTTCATAAAAAAATAGGATAACAGATTAATACAATTAATTATATCAAATATACTCTTCTTGTTTTGGTCGGGTTTACTGTTTACATGTTGTCTGCTTTCTCTGAGTTTTACTTCAAAACACTATTTATGAACATAAAGCTGTGCTAGAAATACAAAATCTTCCTACATTGAGATTTTAATTAAAGTATATGAATATTGTTCAATATTCATATACTTTATGACTAAACATTTTTACAGGCTGATACATCTTTAATGCAAGGCTCCACACTGCTTAATGAGGTTTCCACAGATTTATGAAAGTATAAGGTGTAAGTATAAAAAGGCTTTATTATATTTTAGAAATAACGTATATTTAGGTAAAATGTGACTTTAAAATGGGACATTTAACTGCCTTTCTTCAAATGATATCCCATGAGTAATCGTGCATCTGGGTTTGTAGGAAGCTTACCATTTCTACTTTCCAGCAATACCTAAACATATTGTAAACTGAAGATGTTTTTGTAACTTCACCACAGGGCTGAACCTGGTGGCTGGGTTTGTCAGACTTAATGAAGCAAGCACACACATTTTACATTTAGCTTCCTTATTTCCTGTGCTGATTTATTACATTTGCCTGAGCATTAGTTTTACATTTACATATATTAACAGTTCTCATTTAACAATTGTTAGACTGAAATATGAAGTTACCTTTACTGTTTAATACTATTGGCCATATTCTTATATAAAAGACTGATTTCAGTGTGATGCAGTTTGGAAAGAGGATTTTTAGACATACAGTATGAACATGGTTCCACCAGGAGTGCAATTGTTTAACCCTTAAATGGGAAATCACATATCACAGCTTTTTGGAAAATTCATTATTGCCATATTCTAAATAAAACCCATATGGCACTGT